CCCAACAACCTAACAGAAAATCAGAATCTTTTTATAGAAAGCTTCCATTGGCTCGAACCCTCTGATATCAGACTTATCCGTCATCTGTATTTCCTTTAATCAAATGAGCACAGTTTATACACTGATCCTTCAAAATGACAACATGCTTCAGAACTCACCTGTTATAAATTAATGCTAGCATATCTTGCTGCCTTTATAGGCAGACTTAGTTTAAATCAAAGAAATAGCTGAGTAACAATTATAAATAAAATTTGTTCTTCCAGTTTGAGTTATGTCTATAAATACCAAATGTAAAAGTATTCTCAAACAAGTGCACACTGAATGAGATACCAACTATTCATTTTTCTATACCTCTGCTATGGTAATAAGAAACAATCAAAATAATGTGAACTTCAGTGGCTCAATTATAACACTTGCTACTGATATGCAGCCTAGCACTTGAGGGAAAAGACACGAAAATTCTAGAATAGGGTTTTTAGACCACATTGAAGTGTTGGGTGGTCCTCATTCATCCAGTGGAAGGTTGAACCTAACAGTATGATTAGTCCAGTATAACAAACCAAATATTTTACATAGAATGCAATAAAAACACAAATATATGTGTATCAATATACAAAATACATGACTTAACTCACTTGTCAATGACCACTGGGAAGGATCCAGAATTAAGGTACTGAATTTCATTTTCAATGTGCACTCAGATTTGCTAAGCACTATTATAATTTAAAATGTTACTTTCTCATTATAATTCTTTCTTCCTTCCCTTTCCAGAATTGTTTTCTAAAATAAATTTTCATACATTCCAAATATCAGTTCTAAGATTTCTTTGATATTTATTGGCTAAACTTCTATAAAACAAATATTAGAACTATTTAGATAAATAATTATTTTTAAGTAGTAAGAATTTGAAATTGTGTTCATTTCCCAGAGCAGCTAAAAGAATACACAGAGCTACTTGGCAGACAGTAGTCACTGAACACTGACCACGTTAAAGTGTGTATATTCCTTTCTGAAAGCAGAATAAGCATCCTGTACCTAAAGAGTGATACTGAAGGACAAACAGTGACAGCTACCAATCGTGCACAATTACGGTCATGCTCAGAACTTTCATTAACTAGAGCATTTTCTATTCTTACCTCAGATTTCTCCAGTTTATTTTGTGCATCAATTTGTGTGACAATCTCATTCATGTTGGTCTCTAATACCATTCCCCCCATCACCATTTCTGCAAGAATATTGTGAACCTAAAGGAAAAAACAATACACACAAAGAAAGCTCACTACACAAAAGTTTTACGATTTCAGTAGTTTCTGCTTCAAATACTGCTGTCTATATTTTATAAGATGAGGGGTTAAAATAATCTGGTGTAAGGGTTCAGGATCCATTTTCATCACTACTTTGAAGCCCTAGACAGTTAAGTAACATCTTTAAGTCTTAGCTTAATGGGTTATGAAGCAGAGATAATAGTACCTCCCTCACAAGATTATAGAAATGTTTAAATGAGGTAATCCATGTGCTTTAAAAACACTGGTGTCATGTATGGAAGCTTAAGTAGAGTTTAATTTCCTTAAGGAAAGCTTTCATTCTGTAGTAGCAAATGTTAAGAACTTTACTCTTACAATATTATACAACAGAAATGTCAATTTTCTTTAAAAATGCTCAATGTATTACATAATCTACTGATCTCTGAGCATTTTTCAAACACTTCCTTTTAAAAAAAATTAATTAACTAATTCCAGGAGGGAAAAGGAAGATAGGCACCCTTGAAAGGGTCGAGTCATGCCACAATCGGCCCCCAGCCTTCAGCTGGCCAAGAGCACACGCACACCCATCTGGCCTGCCGACACCAACCTGTCACCCCATCCCTGGTCTCTCATTTGACTCCAGGCTTGCAGCGCAGTGCCCTACAGCTTGTGCCACTGCAGCTGGGGCTGAACAGTCATTTTAACAGAGAGTTTTTAAACCTAATTTTCAATACTGTGAACCTTAATGCCTGAAAGTAACAGGAGCCTTTGTGTGAAGGAAAAAAGCAGTAGAACACTAAAAACATAACTATGTTTGCAGTTTAAGTTCTCTGTCCAAAGTGAAGTAACATGAAATCAAGTCACTTAGTAAATCAGAAATAGGATCTGGCGGACGGCAGATTGCCTACAAGCAGCTACTACAATGGCTACCATGCTGGCTACAATGCATTCTTTTTATGATCACAAACAATAGAACACATTCCTTGTGCTGTGTCTTCTGGTAGTGATTACATAAATGCACAACTTGACAAGACTTAATTATATGGTTAAAACTGCTAACTTTTAATACACATAAATTATACCTCACTAAAGACGATTAAAAAGCAATCACAATTAGGCCCAGCCTAATTGCAGTCCGTGGCATACTGACCACAGCACTGGAAGCCATATGGTCAATCATGGGTTCAGACCCTTGGGCTAGTCTGCAAACATGTCGAGTACACGCAATGAGCCCTGTCAAGGCACTTTCTCTCTCATATGTGCACAAATTATTATTAAAAAAAAAATCAAAATTATTGTTGCTAAGATATTTAGATTACTTTCATACTCTTTTACTCAATGGCTTAATCATTCAAACTCAATCTATCAGAGCATAAAACTTAATAAAAACATCTGCATGCAGTAAAAGTAAAAGCTCTTCCTTCCAAATTCTATGTCGCCAATTCTCAGTGATACTGGTTAGAAATTTCAGTCATTCTTCCATTCTACCACTTTTGGTACTTTTTTTTGTATAGGGCACATGTACGTGGCAAGGGGGGGAGGAGAGGAAGGGAGGGAAGGAGTGGGTGAGAGAGAGAGAAGGGATGAAAAAGCACCCTTCCCCCCACCACGGGACGGTTCACACTGCAATCTCTTCTCATCTCTCTCTCCTTTGGGATTTTAGGCTTGCATGCTCACGCGCCCAGTGTTTCTTGAGCTGTGGGATCTGGGAATAGGACCGTGTGGTCAGCCACTTGATATCCGGCTGCCTTAACCATCAAGCCATTGAGGTGGTCCACTTTCAGGTTTTAATAATCCATCAAGTCCTATAAATTCTGCTTCCTTTAATCTGTATCTTAATGCCTTAGTTTATTTCTTTCTGGACTACTGCAACAGATCCCTAACTGATTTCCATGTCTTTAATGTCCCTGACTACCAATCTAACCTCCAGAAAGCAGAAAAAGATGATCTTGCCGAAACATAAAAAAAAAACCCAATAGTGCCAACCAAAACTCATTAGAGAATGGTAAACTGCCTCAGAATGAAGTCCAAAGTCCATGACGCTAACAGGTTTTCAAAAGTAATTTGTTCAAATCCCTACATATCAAAAAAAGGCTGTTTCTCCTTTTCTAACAATAAATACCTACTAATCCTTTAAAATGCAGTTTAAATCTAACTTCCTCCAGTCACACTCTCCTAGCGAGCGCTACGTGGTGCAGCTGTGTTCCCATCAATGCTCAGTTCACGTTACTTGTTAATGCCATACATGCGAACTCTTTGGAATCTTCTCCACCAAGCACAGGGCCTGATTCATAGTAAAAATATGAACTAAACAATAAAATAAAGGAATGAAACTAATAATAAATCTAGTTTTACTCTGAAAAACACAAATTAATGTTTTTCTTCAATAAAAACAGCAATTTGACAATATTGAAATAGTAGTAATACCTTGTCTACATGGAAAATTAAATCCAGTTCACAGACATTTTCAAAACACTTGTCTAATGTTTCCACGAATACCTATAGAAGAAAAGAATAGAAAACACGCTTTTGAGCATTGTACAAATCCATTCAAATCAATCATCTACAGGGTAGACAGCTCTTAATTGTGCACTAGAACTTCTGTAACTATTATCACATTTTCCTTTTAAAAACCAAATACTGGGGACCAGCAGTTAGTGTAATGGCTATGTCGATGGACTCCCACATAGTCGTCCGCAGTTTGAGTCCCGGTCCTGGTGACTCAAAAACTCACACCGGGTGCGTGTGTGTGTGTGCCCAAGATCCCGAGAAGAGAATGGAGGAGAAGGGATTGGGGCGTGACCATCCCCCCTGGGGGGTGATTTCTCGCTTTCTGTCTTTCTGCCTTCTCTCTGTCTGTCCGGAGAGCGCACGTGCCTATAGCAAAAACCTCTTAAAAAAAAAAAAAAAACACAAAAACTGTATAAAATGCAAAAAGTTAAAATAATAGACTCTTCAAAAAATAATAGACTCTTCTTGTAAACTATTTTTGAATAAAAGCATACAAGTTTTTTTTTTTGAGAGAGAGATTTTTGCCATAGGGCGTGTGTACTTGCTGGAGAGACAGAGAGAGAGACAGAGACAGAAAGCGAGAAATCACCCTCCAGGGCAGATGACCATGCCACAATCCCTTCTCCTCCATTCTCCTCTCAGAATTTTGGGCATGCACACACATGCACCTGATGTGGGTTCCAAGTTGCCAGGTCTGGGACTCAAACTGTGGTTGGCCATGTGGGAGTCCAGCAATATAACCATCACACTGTCTGCTGATCCTCAAAAGTAAACTTCTTTGAAAATGACTAAAACTAGAAAGTCTTAGCACATTACTTATAAAAATACTAAAGTCAGGGCCTGCAGGTATGGTTTGAGTCCTAGACCCAGTGGCTTAAAAAATCTGTCATAGAGGGACCAGCAGTTAGCGTAATGGCTATGTCGCTGGACTCCCATGAAGTCGACCGTGGTTTGAGTCCCGGACCTGGTGGCTTAAAA